AGGAAAATTATTTGAATGAATGGCAGGAATTCCTGTGACGCACGGTCCTTCATTGGTGTCTTGACAATCAGTCTGTGTGATTAACGTTTGCTTTCCTCTGTAAAGACTGAATGGAGACCTGGATGTCACTGCGCTGCAATAACATTTTTAAAGATTCAACAACCAACTGGGGTATTGATCAGGATTGAATTGGTTTTAAATTTTAATTGTGAATTTAGAAGAAAGAGCATATTTTAAAATGGTGAACTTGTTTTATATACACACTTGAATTGCTTGTATTCTGCAGGACAAAATGTGCTCAAATTTAAGCGGCAATAAAGGCTCTGTTGTAATGTTGTGTGAAAATGGTGGATGTGAAATCAGCTTTGTTTTTGATCACAGAAAGCAAAGCCAGAGAGGCACACCCATTGCCAGGCATTCAACGCCCTGAGTAACTGCCTTCTCGCACATTTCTTTCATGATCTTGGATAAATACAGCACAGGTCCATTTTAAAATATTTTAGATGATGGTGGGTTAAAAGTAGGACTGAATACATTTCAAATAAAATGGAATTTCTCTAAGAAGAAAACATGTTACTTACTTACAGAGCATTTATGTTCAATTTCTCATACATGGAATCAATGTTAACTGTGGGAACAATTTTAATAATTAATCTGTACTCCAAAATACATTGCAAGCCAGTGTTCAAACAGCTGCGTAACTGAAAACCTGCACACTGTGCAAGCATCGTATCTATATGGTATACCAGGAAGTTCTGGTAAAGCAAGTTTTTATGAAAGGAATCATCTACTTTTAATTCCTTAGAATATTTTCTGGAAGTCCCTAGTCATCATAATTTAGAAAACTGTTGTTTATGTTGTTATATTTTAATTTCAAGTTAAAAACCTTGCAGAAGTTGTTTATTTCTCACAGCTTTTTTTGTGACATCAGCTTCGTTACATGTGATAGCATTTAAAATAGCATGTTCCTTTTTTAATCTGAATTTTGTATCTAATCAATGTCTTCAGTCATGAAGAGGAATTTGCATTGTTGTGTTTGTATATAGAGTATTGCAGTGCATGATTTAGCTTATGCATTTTATTAAATGCTGTTTAAATGTGGCATTTTGTTGTGGCTTAATACTACTACCTAAATGAGGTTTATACTATTAAAGTGAATTACAAATAGAAATGCATTCTTTGGTTTTATTTTTAACTTCACTTAATTTCTTCTTAAACAGTAGGTGTCTAAGCCAAATACATAATTTGCTATCTTTTAGAGAGAAACAGTTATTTTTCCCTTTACTACAGTGATTATCTTATGAGTGATTTAACCAAGTCTGACAGAAGATAAATCCCATGAACCTCACTGACACCAGGGAGCCACTTCCAGAAGAGAAGCAGCATCTTTTCCTAGAGGTTTTAATTCCTCTTCTTCAGCCTTCTGTTTTTCACAGGTTTTTCTGAGGAGGTCGTTAGCTATCAACAGACCATGCCTTGCTTTGATGTGGTCAGCTCCTTCCTGTTCCCCAGTTCTTAAATTCAGGTGATGCCCTGGGTCTTGTTTTAGTGCCTTCACACACTGTACCGGAGGTGATGGACTGGGACTGCTGCACTCAGGCAATGCCTCCGCCGTTTTATTTACAGCACTGGGAGGTGCGGCACGCGTCTGTATAGAGAAGATGGAGTTAACTTTATTTCGTGTTGCTATTAGAAACCGTACCACTTAGACAAGCTCCACTGAGCAGAAATGAAGGTAATCAGACTTTAGGTTTCAGTTGTCAAATCCAGAGCTGTACAGGAAAACCATGCATGGGGCTGGGAGGTAAACACGCATGGGGTGGCCCCGGCCGCTGCTAGGCCCAGGCCCCTGATCATGCGAGCGCCCAGCGCTGCAGATTTGCAAAGTGCGGCTGGCGATGGTGGGGGTCTGGGGTGAACCCTGAAATATTGCTGGAAAGGACACACGAGGCTGAGCCTTCCGTATCTCTTCGGGAGCGGGGGAAACACTGGCACCCTCCCGCACTCATCACCGCGGAAGCAGCGCCGGGAAGCGCTACGAGCGGCGGAGGAAGCGGCCGGCTCACCGCCCTCTGAGGCGTCGCGCGGCGGTGGAGGGAAGGGGGCGGTATGCCGATGAAGGGCCGGTTCCCGATCCGGCGCACGCTGCAGTACCTCAGCCAGGGTGATGTCGTCTTCAAGAGCTCAGTGAAGGTGATGACCGTGAACTACAACTCGGCGGGGGAGCTGAGCGAGGGGGCGAGGTGAGCGCGGCGGCGCGACGCGGCGCCGGGCAGCCCCCGCCCTCCTCGGTGGCATTGCCTCTTGCACTCCTGTTTTTCTTCTTCTTTCCAGAAAGTTCGTGTTTTTCAACATCCCCCAAATCCAGTACAAGAACCCCTGGGTGCAGATCATGCTGTTCCGGAACATGACCCCTTCGCCCTTCCTCCGCTTCTACCTGGGTAGGTGCGGCCGGCTCCATCCCGCCGGGAGCTCCCCCCGCGCAGAGGCGGCGGCAGAGACGCGGTTGATCCGCGTTTCTGTAGTCCTGCCTCGGCCCCTGCGTCTCGGCCTGTGCTTGGTCAGAAACGGGGCACCGCTGACTGTTAATCATCTCTCTTGACAGACAACGGAGAACAGGTTTTGGTTGATGTGGAAGATAAGACTAACAAAGAGATAACTGAGCACGTTAAAAAAATCTTGGGGAAAAGCAAGTAAGTAACACGTAGTAAGCTAACAGTCTATCATCCATACAGTCCCTGCAATCTTTGGTCAGGTGTACAGAAATGCTCCTTTCCACAACCAAAACTGACATGAGCTAGGTAAAGCACACAAGCTAGGAACTGTAAATCCATCCTTCTGGTAAAATGGTAAAGAGGGAGAGGATGCCATTCAGGCTTTTGATAGTAACAAACATCTCTTTTCCAGAGAAAGGCTCGAAAAAGAAGAAAGAGAAAGGAAAAAACTGTCACATCCAGCAACTTTCGGGAACAAGAAGTATCATCTGCGAGAATGCATGTGTGAAATTGAAGGCCAGGTTCCCTGTCCTGGTGTTGTGCCACTGCCTAAAGAGATGAGAGGGAAACATAAAGCTGCTATGGAAAAAGAAGCATCAGCCTGATGTCTCAAGTCATGCAGTTGGTTTTCCTCAGGGATGGATGATCAAGAGCCAGCAGCTCCTGGAAACAGGAGCAAGCAATTTCATATAATACAGACAGCCTCATCTTGTAAGTCTTCTTACAGCTACAACTAGAATAATTGAAGGGAAAAATAAATAAAAGTGAAAACCAGTTTTTGTGGTGCCAGTTTTACAAAGCATTAGTCACCACCACAAAAAAGGAAAACAATGACTGGAGCCCTATTTCCTATTCATGCCTACACATAAAAGGTTATGGCAAAAACAAGATTATCTTGACTATAGGATAGAAAGACTAGATTAAAACTTAATATCAGAAGCAGCACAGAATTCCACAACCTACAGAAAGTGGTGTAGAAGTGTTCTTGCCAATTTTCACCTTGTACTAACTGAAGACAGCCAAATTGTAACTCCAGGCTCAAACTACACGCTGAATTTTATTTATTTAGCTACCACTCAAACAGTTAAAAGTCTCATTTACAAGATACAACTTTTGCAGTCAATACTGCAGCTGAGAAGCACTGATCACATCAATAGCAGTAAAGAAGAACATTTAAGCTGGTATTTGAAAGATAGTGCTCTACAATTACCTTTTATTGGCCTTCAAAAAAAATACGAAGCTACTCTTTAAACAACTTCCTAAAGTCTTTAAAAAAAAAAAGCCATAGAACAGAGAACCATGTCTGCATTTATCCACTTTTAGCAAATTCTAGCCAGAAAGGCCATTATGCTTCGAAGTCCAATACTGCTGGACTCACCTCAAACACCCCTGTTCCCTGCAGTCAAAAACCCCTGAATCACAGCTTCTGCCCCACCAGTTACTCCTGTAATAGTATATCCACATATGATAGATTGTACTGTATTGTATTGCTTGGAATTTGATAATTGCATGTACCTTTAAGTCAGGCTTATACACGTGAATTACTGTAGAGCCGTATTTCAGTATTTCTGGTCAAATACACAGACTCACACAGACTCGCGTGCCCTGTAAAAATTGTCAAGGACAAACACAGCACAAAATAAACATGTTGTTTTATTTCATCTGTTTACAAAGTTCCCATACAGAGTAGTACATGCAGTTTTAACAAAGTCAATGCTAGTTACTTATTGAGCTTTATGGTTCGGGTGTTTTTGTTCTGTTGTGCCTCGTGAGGCCCACAGCAGTCCGAATACCAGCAGAAGGTCTTCACTTTGGAGATGACTTTACTATCAGGTCTAATCTATCGCATTTAACACTGACATAGATCATGAGGTATGCTAGTCTGCTATCTGCTTGTAAAAATACATTATTACATGTACAACAAGGATACTTTTAGTGTATTAGACTGAAAATACAAACGAGGCAGGATAGTTGTAACAAGGAAGAACTTTAAATGTGAAAGCTGAAGCCACCAAAATGTTTTTCTTATGTTGATACCAAAAGAAGCTCTGGGTTACGGTGCAGGGAGGAATCTTGACTAGCAAACAGGTCTGTCTGAAATAACTACCTCGTACTATTCTGTTAAAGCGACTCCTGGGGTCATGCTTAGCTAAACATTTTTTGCTGCCTTCATAAAACTGGTGCCACAGTGCACATTTTGAAGTGACCTTTCAGAATCCTATTCTTCATTTCACTTGGTGCAAAACACTCAGGGAGACCAAATCAACTCCAACAAAACATCTCAGTGTAAAAACTTCATGGTCTTAAGACAACCCATTCTGCACAGAATCAACTTCAGGTCTGGGCTGCAGCAAGAGGAACACTGCCTGTGCTCACCTGGCTGCTCAGGGTCACTGCTGTTCATTACCGGTGCTGTAAAGCGAGGACAGAGGTGGCTTCGGTTCTTTTAACCGGCAAGTCCCTACCCACAGTTATTTACAACAAAATACAACTTGAGTTCCTGGTCTTTAACTAGCATAATTATTTGTGTCTCTGAACTACTATGCAATGCTTGGGTTACAGCTATGCTAGCATATCTTACCAGAGGTGCAGTTAAAAGACAGGTCCCATTCCACAGAAGTTTACACTTCTGTATAAACCCACTATTATTAGTGCTATGCAGCGTGATCTGCCTGATTTTCCTGTTTCAGCTTTAAATGAACACACCCTTTAGCTGACCCTTCCCCACTACCCTCTCAAACACAGATGCCGATGATGGACCTCTGCCTTTCAAAGATAAAACCCAAAGCAGCTCAGGCTCAGTCTTTCTCCCAAACATCCCGGTGTGGTCCCACGTTTCAGGCATAACCCTCAGGAGCCTGGCTGACCTCTGCTGTGTCATCAGTGCCGGCTGTCTCCCTGTCACCCCCAGACCACAGGGTCACACAATGCCTCCAAATGGAGTTTATTTCAGAGGAATGTGCCTGATTCTCCTAACAACTTGAGGGGAATCAGGTGTGAAAGAAAATTGCTCTATGGCACTACTGCAGCCACAGGCTTTGTCTCCCAGCTTTCACATAATTCCAGTTCAGTGGCATTTCAGCTCTCCATTGTAAACAAGATTTTTGTTCCTTGAATGCTACAAAAAAAGAGGGTTCCAGTCTCACAACAAACATGATAACACTGTCACCCAGAGAATTTAAAGGAATGTGTAGATTCCACAAGATAATTAGTAATTGGAGGGGTTGCTCTTTATATTACTGTGTGAGGTGGTGCTAGCCTGATGGTTTTTCCCTGGAAATGAGCAGATCCTCGTTCCCTCACAGCATGGCTCTCCCTGTTACACTGTACTTTGTGCTCAGAGCAAATGGGAAACTCAAAGTGATGAAAAGACAGCATCCAAGTTTTACTTGGGAATCTTTATAAACACATTAAAAAGTTACTCATATTAAGATCAGTTACAAAATTCTCCTCAGCCTTAAAATCCCTTTTATGTATTCCCATTGCACAAAACTGATCTGCAAGCCAGTATATTCTGCACCTCACAGAACTACAGTAGCCTTTTAACAGCACTTTCTTCTACCACCACTGGGCAATTCCGCCAGCCTGTAACACTGCACTGTGTCATTACCAGATGATGCAGAGTTTTAGTAAAGTTGTCATCTCTCTTTAGTCAAAGACCCACTTGAAAGGCAAATACTACAACAGAAAGGGGGAAAGATGACAAAGCAACGTTGCAACCATTTCCAACTCACAGTTCCCTATCAGCACTTAACCACTTTGACCAAAATAAGCACAAAATAACACCAGTTAGCATTAAAAGTGTTGTAACAAGTTACTTTAAGATTCCTTAATGTAAGTGCTTCAGACCAGAAACATACCTCAGTAATTCCTTCTTCAAGACTAAGTAGTACTGGAAATGCCTAACTGAAAGTGCATAAAAGTCAAGGTTCTCCCAGTTCCCTCTTGTGATCTGTACTCCTAAGTATCTGCTCTACCTTCCTGTATTTAACTGCAGACTTAAAGTAATTATCACACAGCCCTGCTGCTGCTTCAGCAGTTGGATTTTTCCTTCTGCTTTGCTAATGTGCGCTTCAATTCCTTTAAGTTTTCTGTCAGTACCTCCACCTCGTCCATTCGTCCACTATGTTTGGCATCAAATATATAAGCTTTGATATTATCTATCTGTTGGAGAAGCAGCTCTTCCTCTATAGCCTCCTCTCCAGAGACCTCACTGCCATCCTCCACCTCAAAGGGGTTGGTAGAGGATCCCTCTTCAAATGGATTCCCAGAATTACAACTGCCCCCAGGCTTTTGAAATGGATTTTCATCCTCTTCAAAAGGGTTTAAAGTACTGCCGGGTGCTCCATTAGTCTGTTCATCCTCCTCCTCGTTTTCAAATGGATTATATTCTTTTTTATCACTTTGCAGAGCTGGGCTAGAGACAGAAACCATTGGAGAAGTGTCTTTGGCAAATGGGTTAGCAGGATCTTCCTCTAACTGAGGCGTATCCGCTTCATCCTCAAAGGGGTTTAGACAGGCTGTCTGACCTTGGTCTTTGTCACGCTGTGAGACATCCTGGGGTTTGAGTGTGGAGATCAAATGCTCTTTAGCTGGCAGCTGCTCAACAGCAGGACTTTCAAAACTTGGGTCTCCTTTGATCTGAGCAACATCCAAATCCAACGCATGTGCTGTCGAGTTCCGGTTCTCTTTCGCATCTTCATGCTGATGCTGCTTGACTTCTCTGAAGTCTAAGGAGCATGTCCTTGAGTGCTGAGACATGAGTTTGTGCTGTTCTCTTTCCCACTCTTTTTCACGAAGGACCTGAAGTTCCTCCCTCTGCATCTCTTCCTCTTCGGCTTGTTTTTTAGAAAGCTCGATTGCTTTCAGAGTTTGTTGTTGATCATATTCATCCTGAAGCTGCCTCAGGTTCTCTTGCAACATATGGACCTCATCTATCCTATTAGCTGCCTTTGCTTGCTTAATAAAGCATGTGATATTATCAATCTGCTGAAGCAGCGGGTCTGCCATCTCGCACTCTCTTGACACACTGGATGTCGGTAACCAGCCTTCAGATTTCCTGACTGTTCCTTTTTTCAGGTGAGTTGCATCACCATTAACTGCAGCTGTAGATCTGGAGATAAAGTCTTTCTGCTTTTCCTCTTGTTTTCCCTGTGTATCAAGAGCCATCTAAAACAAATGCAGTAAGAGAACGCCATGAGCTTGAAAAATTCCATTCTAAATATCCATAGGAACAAAGAGTCAGCTGCTCTTAGACATTGCTGGCTGTCACTGAAGAGATCAGCTGCATTTCTGGTTACTTTGCAGAAAATGCTTATTTTCATAATATTAGCTAAATGTTTCCTTTCAGTTTGTTTGTGACAATATTGATCAAAATCCCATGACATCTGCCTCTACAAACTTGAGGGCAAATAGGAGCAGTGACAGTGCTTTATATAGAGCAAAAAAATGCTTAATGCGACTGTGCAAAGAGCACAGCAACCGCACCACACCTGGCTGCAGCAGACATCTGCAACAGAACATCTGTGTCAAAGGTCACTGACATCATTAGCTTTTGGAGTGTAGCAATTCTTGTTTCTCAATTTCTACCTCAAGATAAAGCTGGTTTAACTCACAATTAATGATGTCCTCCCTCCTAACTGAAAAAGCCCTCCCTCTCTCTGAAGAGGCACCATTGTTTTATATGTCCCTTTTCACCACTGAAAGCAGTCTCCAAATTTTATGTGTAAATGAACAGTTTGGAAATCCACGTGAACTAACACACTTAGGTTAGGGCTTGCTCTGCATGCACTGCAGAAGAAACAGCATGTGCAACCAAGCCACTGCTGCTTTCTAGAAGCATTCAACCGCTCTGTGCACACCTACTTAAGTCCTGGATGGAATACAGTGGCAGTGTTACCTGAATCCCTGGAAAAGAGTATGGAATGATCTGCATTAAGAAGTGAAAACCTGAAATCCAATGTTAAAAGGCAATAGCTCATCCTCACACAGCTAGAAGGCATACACTGTGATAAAAGATGCAACAGATTTTAACCTGTCTTACCATACGCAGTCTTCTCTTCTTCAGTTCTTCATACTGATCTTTGGTTGGCAGGGACATCAGGCCGAGCAGCTTTTCCTGGCAAAATGTGAAATGTTTAGTGTCGCTTGCAGGCATTCAGCAAGTTTTCAAGTACTTGAAAAGAGAGATCCCACCAACAGAACACCCCACAAACAGAGGTACTTCTGCACTGCAGTCACCACTGCAAGACGGAGCACGTCTCTGCACTACTTGCTAGGTTCACACCTGAGCACAGGATAAAGCCGAGATTACATTCTCCATGTCTCCAGTTAGCTCTGACTACTCTATCTGTATTCAAGCTAGCTCATTTAGGGCTACCATAAATCACTATGGGAACTACAGAAAATGTATAGAAGTAAAGCGCCTGTCAAAACAGTTTCAAGAGGCAGGCATACCTGGCAAAGAGAACGCTATATAAAATTTACATTCAGCTCATAACATACGTTCCACTTACCTGAACAAAAAGTGTAGCTGAGTATCTTATCATTCTCTGAAGTTGTAGTGTTTTAGGATGAGGTTGGGGATCTTCATGCAACCCTAGACTCAAAATCTTCTTACTGAATCAAAACATACAGATTCATCAGTTCAAAAACAAGGGCCAGTGAAAATGCAACAGGAGGGGAGAAAGACAATAATGGATGAAAACCTTCTCATGCTCTTTCAGGTAAACCATTTTTGATATTTTAAGTTATAACACTTTCAACTCCTACTTTAAAAAAAAAACAACACACAAAAAAGCTGAACTGTGGAGCTATTTGTTTCCTCTGTGTTTAGTTATTTCCAATGCAGAGGAATTTAAGGTTGGAGAAGCGAGTAGAAGCATCTACCTCTGCACGTGTTCTTTACTAGTGAGCAGACAAATTGGTAATCCATATGAATATGAGAAAAGCTACAGAGAATTCATAACAAAGGAAGATACACACATGCGGGGGGAGGGAGAAGGAGGGAAGAGAGATTTTCTTTTACCTTAAGGCATCAATAAATTCGTATACTTTTTGAATCTCCACCCTCAAGTCATTAGCATGTTCCAGATTGTAAGTTGTCTCCCCAGCACTAAGAAATAAATACAACTTTACTGTAAGTCATGTGTCCAGCTACCAAGATGTACAACATCAGAAGTTATCCCAAGATGACAGATTCAACAATGGTAAGACTGGCCAACACTAAAAGGGTTGAATGATTTTATTTCAAGCTCATCGTGCTTAAAAAAAACCCTTTGTGACAGAAGTGGAAAGTGACAATTATCTTGTGAACATTTAATAAAAGATAATTTTGTTTATTATTGTATTATTATTTAATATTATGAGAGAAATTGCATTTTAACACAAGAATGTTACTCTATCAATAATATCTAAAATCTACATACTTAGCAAATGCATCTATTTTGTGGTTTGTTTGGCATTTTTTTTCCAGGCAACTGGGTCCAGAAAAAACAGACTGATTAAATAAGTAATTATACTATTAAAGTAAAATAGTTCTCTCTACTAATGTTTGTCAGAAAGCAAAAGCAAAGATGATACATCAAGGGTACAACTGGTACCTCACTGGGAAGTGGCTTAAAAACAAAACGAAAACAAAATAAATCAGACTTCTCTGTATGCAATGTTACCATTCATAATTAACACAGTACCGCTTTCTTTGAAGAGCATCCAAAAGACAACACATAATCTAACACTGCTTTTTCTTATCATTTACACACTCTTGCAGACTGAGCATGCTACTTCCTTACTCCTTCTAACACTTCTGGGCGGAAAAAAAACCACATTCATAAACAAAACCAGTGAACAAGGCTTACTTCAGTGATTCTGCCATCCTTACATATTCTGGTGCCTTCTGGTCAACTTTCTCCATGCAGAGTCGTAGTTTCTTGTTTAAAACAAAAGCGTATATTAAAAAAGGTAACATATTAAAACACTAATGCAAGAACAAGCTGACAAACTTTCATGATGCCTGTGCACATTCAAAGTTAACCGTGATGAAAGCCATTTAACTGCTCCGGATGACAAGACTCTCCAGTTACTCTCGGAACACAGATGGCACGGTCAGGAACAGAGAGAGACTCTCTGTACCCCTGCAAGGTGAATTTTGAATTCAGAAGCTGTTTCAATGGATGACTCTGACAACTTCCAGCCTGAAATATCTATACAGAGAGCACTGACAGAAACTCCCATTAATAACAACCTGGAGGGTCTGTAGACTGTACTGAAAAGATACCTGATGACTGTTGGTACCTGCTTTCAAAGCGTATTTGAACACAACGTTCCAGCCATACCCTCCTGATTGACAGAGATGCATCAAAAAAGCATCTGCCATCAGTGTGAGGACAAACAATGCAGACAACCCTGAGTCCTACAGTTCCAGTGCAGCCCATTAGCAAAGTGCACAGCATATCACTGGTTTAAACAAGAACTGTTCTGAGGAACCCCCGCTTACATAGTTCACAATTTTAAGAGAGGCATGTCAGAGTGATAGTTCCAGATGATGAGAATATGTACCTTAAAATTATGTTTGAAGTTATCATAGGGATATAAATACTATAGGGCAACTGGCTCCATCACTTCAGATACATCTTTGTTATGTGACAAACACTCAGAGTCTATTCTAACACAAGCAAGAATTAAGTCAAAGTGAGAGACTGGACATGAGGTAACGAGCCAAATGTCAAGTACTGACAACTGCAGGTATCTACACAGAACGAAGCAGTAAAGAGTCTGATTTACCTCATAGAGTTTCACAATCTCTGGAGTGTATTCTTTCTCATCAATCTGTTGTTCTCTTTTCAGCAGGGTATCTTTGCAGTGCCGACAGCAACGGATTCGGTCATCATCCTTCTCATCCAGAACTGAGCTCACACTGCTTATGCTGCTGATGCTGCCACGGCGGGAGCCATGGACACTGTTAGGTGAGGAGTTTGGGCTAGTGTGAGAACCCAAGGCCTCTTTGCTGGCACTAGTGAGTTTGCCTAAAAATTATACACAGGTAATTTCACAGTCACTGGAGAAGCCAAAACAAATGAACTGCACTTTAACTTTACATTCAGGTAACATTAGAAAACGAAGTTGAAACAGTCTGCTGAAAGACATGCAAAGAACCCACGACAACCAAGACCGCAAGTCAGAATTTGGGTCTTGACTGCAGAGCCTGCTCCATTTCAAAAGCAGCAAGAGAGCAGACTGCTGAGAAGCACCTGCTTTGCTTATGCCAAGAAGCATTCTCATGTTGGAGCTCGCAGTGTTACAGAACAGCATGTGGAAGAACACGTATGTTAATGCTGCCCGTGTTTTGTGCTTGAACGCCCCAAACAGCAAAATTAATGTCATTTATTTCCACAGAAAATATGGTCTCCTGAAAAAAAGGAGGAAATTAAAATTCAAAGGGTTTCTTAAAGGCTTGTGGATGAATTTCCTTAATGTCAGCATTTAGACAACCACAGGCAAAACTGGAAATATCCACAGTAGTTTTAAATGTCAAGAACCTTGGCAGTTATAACTCCTAATGTTAATACCTTCATAGTTACAGTACTCGGTAGAATAAGACACTAAATATTTATATTTACTAGTAGTATATACTACTACTACTTCTAGCAAGTTGTCCAGTGTTACGTAACACCTCCAAATCTGAAGGAGCAGAGACAAAGAATGGAGAAATCACCCTTCTCACTCTGTTCCACAGACAAGTGTCTGCATGAAACCGAATGACACATTAAGGTCCAAGTTTCCTGCACAGGCAGAATATTACCACCAGCAGCTTTTTTCTTACGACAAAAAGCCGGGATGCAGTCTGAGGGAGCTAAGGAAAGGAGGAATTAACAACATGCACGGTACTCACAGGCAAAAGGAAGACTGACAAGTTCCATGCACTTCTTGCACATGATAGACCCACAAAGGCGGCAGTGGTGACGTCGGTTTCGGATACTGAATTTACTGCCACAGTCTGGGCAGAACGGAACATCCTGATCACTGACCCAAGGCACAACAGACTTCTCTATAGCTGCATTTGGGCAAGAAGGGAGGGATACATATGGCTTAAGATACTCATTCAATTAATTCCTCAGCTGGTTAAACCACAGGGCAAATAGACTGAGGTAAGCTCATACCAACCTCTTATTTTAGCTGACTCAGTGTTTGCTCTGTCAAACGATGTAAGCTAGTAGAAGATAAACAATACATTCAAGAAAACTGTACTTTTGCAAGGAAAAAAACCCAACACAACCCAGCCCAACAAGAAAAAGAAACCTGGCATTTTTAAGAAATAGGAGTCTCAGCCTGTTCTACACCAGATTCCTGCAACTTTCCTATTTACTTCTAATGCCACATTCGCACAAGTAGTGCTAAACAAAGACTGCCAAACCTGTACAAATCAGAGCATTTTAGACAATTTATACTATGTCCAATATTACTGCATCCGAGCCAAAATGTAAGTATATCATAGATTTTGAAGAATCACAATAAAACATTAGGGAGAAATTCAGTAAAGTAAAAGATGGAAAAAATATACAGGAAAACAGATGACTCTTGAAGCACATGGAAGTAACACCTTCAGCTCGAAAACAGTGCACAGAAACAGAAATCATATCCATGGTCCAGGGTCAGGCTAAGCACAGTGCTCAGAGATAAAAAAGGAAAACAGTAATGTGCAAAGAGACCCATAGTTTAGTATCCTTTATAAAGTGCACTGCTAGATAAATGGGCACACTTCATAATAAATATGATTTTTTAAATCTAGGAGGCATTCAGAAGGCTGGAATATTAAAAAGCTGCAAATTTACCTTTTCTAACCTGATTATTAACTTATTGACTTCAACTACATAGTGATCAATCCTGGCTGCTCGGTGCTTCTTGAAATCAGAAAGATGGCTTCTCATAGCACCTGGAGAGAGACAGGAGAAAGTTTTCATATTCACACAAGTGTTCTGTATAGATTTAAGTGCCTTTTGAAAGACAGCTGTCTCTTCACCACCTATTTCTCACATTCAAATTGAATTTTAAAGATACCTTGGAATCCCACATTTTCCACAGTGCGGCTTTACACAATACAGGCAGGTTAAAGCCTAATCACCAGGCTAGCAGTAATGAGTGTTTTATTGCTACCAAAGAAAACAACAGACACTAAGCTAAAGAGAACATCTGCATCAAATTTCCCCACCTCCTCTTCAACCCTCAGTTACATCTGGCAAGCTATTATCAACCAGCAGTATTCTCAAAACCAACTCCCTTTCATTTCTTGGCTACACATTGAACAAAGGGAAGAGGCAAATCCAATGATTACTGGAGGTCTATGCAACAGCAATTCTGCTTTCAGATCATCCTTCCACCTTTAGGGATCTGAATCAAAATCCCTGATGACAGTTCAGGTTTACAGAAAATTGATCACCCAGTATACAAAAGAACAATACAGCATATATTTAAGATCTGTACAATTCCTGCTCTGGGATGTTAGCTTCAAGTTTAAGCTTTGATCCTTTCACATCTATCATGAGCCAGGCATTAAAAAAAATATCAAAGTTACAGTTTGTTATTTCTTACAAAATAAGAAAAATTATCTTTCTTCTGACTGATAGAACACAAAGTCAGATGTCGCTTTTCAATACCACCTATGCAAGTGTAAGAATCTCCCGTGTCCATGCTAATGAAATAACCAAAAAAACCTACGAATCTGAATTCATAGGAATGAAAAGGCCTCTCTGGATACCTGAATTCAGCCACTGCTTTGGAGACATGACGAAGTACCTTTAACAAACCCACCAAAGGCCATCCTAAAATCCATAAGGTTTGTTTTCTCCACTCTGATCAGAAAACAGTTCTCACTTCTCTGAAGTTCAGAAACTTTCTGCTAGTTCACTGCCTAAATTTATTCTTAGCTAATATTTATACTATGATTGCTGCTAAAATAGTTACGAAGTCAAAAGTCAAATCTACAGAACTCAGACTCTGCAGATGCAAAGGACTAAGTCTTAGCCTGTCAGCACCACAGGAGAAACGTTCCCAGGATCCACTAGAGTGCTGCCTCCTCCCCCTGAAAATAACCATATTTCAGCAACAGTGAGAGGCAATTTCCAATACCAGTATTTGTAATTACCAGCTCAGTCAACTTATCCTTGAAATTTTACAAATGCAGATTTATATTCAGAGGAGTGGGTTTAGGGTTGGTTTCTTTTGTTTGTTTGTTTTGTGGGGCTTTTTGCTTGTTTGGTTGGGGTTGTTTGTTTCTGAGGGTTGCAGAACGCCTCAATAAAGCCAGATGCACAGAGGTAAACGCATCCTGCAGTCCCCAACAGCTCAGGCACGACTACATGACACATACCTATCCTACTCTCAAGGTTAGTTGGGGCACTGGTTGCACACTTTTTTTTTTCATTATCTACATTCTCCCCATCACCCCACACAATGCAGGCAGGCTGCACAAAATCAATACGAAAACCATAACCCCATGTGACAGCAAATCAAACGCAATACCGCCACAACTCTACAATTTCAGCAATACTGTAGCACTTTCCCAGTTAAGATTAAAAGAACAGTTATCCCCACTGCACATCGCTTTCTAGCTCTCCTACCTACTTCCTGGGGCTCCCACATGTATGGGTCTACTCCACCATAGCTGAATGACTCGTATCGTTCCTGAGATCCAGAATCCGTTCTGTCATCTCCTTCTTGTCTCAGCAATTTCTTCTTTGCTCTTTTGGCCTTCTGGACTAGAACTGAAAAAAGATAAACCCAAGTTATCAAATGTGGCAGGTAGTCACTGAATACCGGTCACATAAAACAAGCACAGGATATTCCTCATCTTTTAGCACAAGTCTTTTTCCTTGATGACAAGTTTATATTTAACATGTTCTGCAGCCCTGTACCCACAGTGAGAATGTGACTGACCAGGCTGCCTTCACTGCCCAAGAGGAGCAGTGTCAAGAGCCAAGCAGCAGCCAGATTGATGGAAAGCAACTTAAAGACTCACTAAATATTCAACTGTGCTACCCTTAAGACAGGCTTGTTAAAAACACAAACTTTGCACTGAGAATAGACTTTTGTGGTAACCATCATCAGTCTCAAGGAGGAAAAAAAAAAAGGAGCTGGGGGAAGAGAATAATTCAAGACTACCAGGCCACTATCTCTAGCATAATAAAACAAAACCAGAAATATTTTTGCAGGGAACACAGAATTATCACCAGGTTTGGCACATTTCTCTCTCACTGTAAAATGACACTGTGTATGCAAGTGGGATAAAAAAGGGTAAACTAAACAGAATCCAAAGGGATTTTTCAAACACCAGCAGAAGTTGGTAACAAGTACTACAACCCTGAGACACTCCCAGCATCTACAGCCAGCTCCACCACCCACATGCTTTTCCACCTTTCCCGACAACTTTTCGTAACTTTAACTGCAACTACAGCTTTACCAGCTGTCAAAACAAGGGAATAATGAATTGGTACCTGGCCAGTACCAGAAATTCCCCACATGCTGGAGGACCTTCAAGTAGTGCTTGGGAATGTCTGGGCAACAGTATAAATCAGAGTTTTCAGATAAAGACAAACAAAAAACCTCTGAAAGGCCAAAAACATGTATAAAATCAAACATTTAAAGAGCGATGTCCTTTAAGTGCCTGCTTTAGAATTTACTTACTGAAAATATCAGAAATACTGTAATAACTATGCCTTGGCCTAAGGTGACTCACAGAACAGCAGGGCCCCGCACATCACTGCAACTCCCTTAAACTGTTCCAGGGTCCTCAGACACCGGGAACTCGTGGCAAAGCGGCTTCTGCGTGGGGACCCTCCCGCGGCAGTAACGGGTGCATTAAGAGACTGCCGGGCCCTTACTTTTGAGCTGCCCTCTGACATCTCTGTCCTCGCTCGAGTGCTCCTCTTCGTAGTGCGCCTGGAGTTGGTAGAAGGACTGGAGATCCTTCAGGCAGAGCGGGCACAGGAAGCCCTCCCGCATCTCGCCCGGGTCACCGAAGGGCGGCGGGCAGCCAGCCGC